GATCTAAAATTTACTTTTGTATTGGTCCCATAAAACTAAATTACTGGTCATATAAAAAGCATCTTCCTCCCTCCCTCAATGACATACTATTTCACAAAATAAACTGCTATGATAACATTCCTTGCCATTTCATACAGACAACCTTAAAAAAAAATAGGAAGAAAAATATTCTTCTAAACTCATGAGACATTAATGAATTGTCTGTAATTTATTTGGAAAATGATTTTCTTATCACAAACCTGGCTATGTTACAATACAATATCAAGCAAATGATTTTTCATAAGCTTTGATTTTCTACGATATTCTTTAGCACGCTGCCTGGGAAGCAGGGCCGATATTCACGTTCTGGGTACAAATTGCTTAAAATGCAGCAGAGAAAAAAAGAGAACCGGTAGAGAGATTACAGAGATAATTCAAAGAAAATTTACCTTCAATTTGTTTCAATTCTGAACACATACGTAAAAATTCTGTAAACCGTTTCTTAGTTAAAATAAGGAGTTCCTATCAGCACATACATGTACAATGTACACCTATCGTCTGCATTTGATATTCTTATTTAAAACACAATTTATTTTTTGCAGCACACTGAATGCAACTTGTTATAAAACTGTTTTTCTTGAAGATTTAAACTAAATAATTAAAGATCTGTTCAAACTTCATTAGGGAAACAATTTTCATTTTGAATACACCAGGTTTTATTTCAAAAAATTTTACCTTCCATATTTTTCTTAAATACAGTGAAGGACTATTTTCTGTAGCAAATAGTTATCAGCACTCATTGCGTCACAGCATTTTAGCAGGACATCGGTGATACTTCTATTATGTCAGAACTATCATAAAATGACAATATCAGGCAGTCTCCAAGTGTTAATTATTGGCTTAATTACTAACTTTATCAATAATTCTTCCTCAAGAGAATGGCTAGTTCTACTCAATTTAACTGATTTTATATATTCTAATGAATATTGTAATACCTCTTCGATAATAACGAAAACTCAATAATCTGAAAGAACACCTTCTAATAAAAGTTTTATACTTAATTGTATGCATTATTTCTTTTTAACTTGCCGCAACATCAATGTTTATCGAGGTATTTTAACTTCCGCTTTACTCGTGTTTGCCTGTAATCTTGATTTCGATCACCGAAGGGAAGGTTTCAAGCAATACCACAGAAGATTCTCTGAAGCCTTCAGTGAAGGTATATCTTATATTAACAATTTGGGCACATGTCATTATTAACAAGTCAAAACATAACAGATTTAACCTAGGACAAGCAGTGTATGTACCAGTCGCTAATCACTCGGCCACCCAAAGGAGATTCATTACAGATTTTACTTGTCAACAAGTCCGACAGTCCCTATATATGTGTCTATGTTATATGAAGTAGTTTGTTTCTGTCTCCAAGTTCTGCAGATAAAAATGTACTAGCAATATTGTTATGTTCCATGTTATTAAATGTTGGTGATATTGTTCGCTAAGCATTTCTTACAGGTTCTCAAAACTTCCCACGTTGCTTGCGACATGCGATATTCCGTGACTGACCCCATATTTCACTGACACAAAAGTACGTGAATTTGTTCCAGTACTTTACATCTCAGGACTCGTCAAAAACGATAACATATCCAGAATCCGACCTTCTTTATCCTTACTGAAATCTTATGTAATTATTTGTATTTCGCAGAGAATATTACGCCCAAGAAATGTATCAAATTTGATATACATTGAAAGACCACCGGAATAAAATATTGTACGAAGCTGTTAGAACCGTCCTTTTTGTTTACATAAAAAACTCTTACGCTATGATACAGAAGGGAAGCCTGGTTGTCCTATGAAAACGTAAAACCGAGCATAATACATGCCGATTGCTTCCCATCACCCAAACTTTCGCTATAGATCTAAATATTGTTTAGATTTTATGGAGCCGCAAATTTTGAAATAATTTCTGAATTGACTTTCGTAGGTATTGAAATCTTTGTGCATTGTTCCTATAGTTATGCATTTTAACCTTTTCCACATCGTTGTCGTTTGCTATCAGAGACATCAAGGCATGTCTAATTCTACTAGTCCAGTTAGACTCCATATACCGAGGTCTAATATGGTTCTTATATATAGTTTTGTAGTTTGATGGTATCGATCGGAAATCTCCGATAATCTAATTATCTACATATATTCTCATAACATAAAAAGTAATAAAAAACAATTCCATAAAATTCAAATCTCTCATGCGTTATGAAAATAATGAAAAAGGCGGACAGAAAAAGTAGATTATGGATTTCCATTATGCAGAGCTGAAAGAGAATTGCCCAGTAAGAGCAAAATATTATTGTTAACAAATTAAACCTACTAATGCCAAAGTACCTGGTACGCTACCAGCATCGTTTTCCCAAAGAAAGATGGGTGTGAGGGAGTCAATATTTTATCAGTCAGTCATTTACTTATAATTACACTTAACGTTCAAGCATACAAGTTCGTATTAATATTTGAAAGTCATGCCATAATATTATTGTAGTTTTTGTCCAATCCTGCGGGACGTCTGCCTAATAAATCGGTGTCTTCCCCGGGCGAAAACGAGGCAAAAGTTTCTCCGTCGCCAAAACCTTTTTAAATATAGTCTATACTTCAATGGAGTGAATTTATGATCCGATATTACAAATCTAGTCAAATTAGACAGCACTATCGATAAAGGTTCAGAAAAATGGGGGAAAAGCAATTGGGTAATTGGATAAAATCAGATGAAATAGGACAGTCTTTTTACTTCGGCAGCTGGTTATCTGTGAGACGCCGCCGTGATGGTGGCTCCCTATGTCATTTGCTGTATCGATCTCCTGACAAAACAGGCCTCACTAATCAGGAAAAACTACCCCAACTCGGCTCAGTTTTTCAGTTTACTCAATCAAGATGTAGTTACATTCTTATTTTCGTGTCTATCGCCTTTTTTATAATATGATATTAATAATAAACAGAGATCTATTATTTTTAATCACGCAAAGATCAATTCATTTTATTAGAAATATAATAAGCATAGGCTAATGATGTATAGGTAAAAATATACATCTTCACAAATTATTTCTTATAGTCTGTCCCAAATAAATTTTGAATTGTCTTGAAAAAAGTATTAATACAGACTAAACCATTTTTAGTAAGATTATACACATTTAGCGTAAGAGGGAGTGGTCATTATATCTGAAGATAATCTGAGTGTGGTGACCAGATTCACGACGTGTACTGCATTATTACTTTATTGACGACAAGCAACGGAAAATCGCAAATAATGATGGGTCCTTTTCCGAAGAGGCAACCATTTCTGTCAAGTTAATTCCTCGTAGGCCGTGTCAATATACTTGTTGAACTTGAGGGTACTATTCAGATCAAAATGTTTGGGTGGTGGTGGTGGGAGGGGGATACACATCGATCAAACCTAGTATAAAAGCCACGGTATTAATGTATTTTGACATATATTGCAAAATGCGGCGACGTTGGTACCGTGGGATAGACTTCTGAAGTCTTTATAATACTCGATAAAAGTAATGTCCAAAGTTAATTTTCAAGAATTCTATTGCAAGGTGTACACTTACACCGAAGTTAACAGAATCGCAAAAATGACCGAAAGTCCTCTAAGAATTTCATCACGTTAACTTGAATAATTCGTGTTAACTAAGCATTTAAATCTCATACGAACATTTTCTTTAAAAAAAGGAGCGAACGCATGCAATAACATTTAAAAAGTCAATTCAATATTTTATATATTTCTGGTATTTACTACAACAGTTAATGAGTAAATGCTTAAAAATGGACAGGGGAAAGATATTATACATAGATTTATCAGTTGTTAGGGCAAATCGTATACATGTATTACTTCACATATATATCATGCATACTCTTGGCGTTTTATTCAACTGAAATGCTTTATAATCAAACAAACATAAGGAGTTTCATGCAGTGGGCCAGTGCACTTCTAGTGTGCTTAAAGGTTTTTTCATCAACAAAGATAAACAAATAAATTTAAAGTCAATAAAAATGTTAAGAACTCCCCAAGGCTTTGTAAATTTTACCAATCTTCAAAACGAAAAGAAAAACTATTATCTCCACCTCCGGAACTTATTTTTTTTTTTCATACAAACTCATGCATTCCAGTGATTTTAATATCAGAATAAAATGATGATTTTTTAAAATCCACCACTAAAACAGTAATGGTCTTACGATTCATCCAAAGAAAATGACATCAATTTTGATGTGGTGGGATTAAAGTGAGTAATACACAATAAAACTATCAAAAATAGAGGCGTGTAAATCCCATGAATCGGCCAGACCAAAGTTCTTCAAATAGTTAAGTGTGAAAAAATGAATGGTTAGGCTCTTGTTGATTCAACCTGTTGGTTTATATGGGGTACTTGAAAATTCTGAATCAAAAGTGTAGGATGGCTTGTATAACGTGCGCCTAAGAAATCGTACACGCTGTTGCATACTTAATGATATGAACTTGGAATCCGTTTTGATGACACGTAAATCTACAGCGCTATTCTCAACCCCTGCTAAGCCGATTACAATCACAAACACAAAATAAAGGATTTTTTTCGAACAACAATACACAAAGAACTAAATATATTTAATTTTCAGATCGCTGAATAGATGAAAAGTTTTGAGAAATCTTTACATTTACTGTTAATTCAATTAAAGTCTAAGGTGAGAATTTTCGGCGAGAATCTAAAGTAACATGACTCCGAGTGTACCAACTTTTACACCCTGTTTCCGTCAGTCTCTAGATTTAACAATTAAAACACGACGCAACTTAAGTCCGCTGTCATCGAAGTTAAATGTTTCCACTCCTATTTCATCATAAATGTTGTGAAGGCAGAAACTCAAGCAATTAAAGAATTTCATACTTTTTGATATTTATTCCAGAAGAGAATAACTTTAACTATATCCTCTATTTTGATCGCATTTTTTTTCAACAAAATTTTACAAGACATATGACACTGAAGTCTAAATTACATACGTACCTCTACTGAAAATTGTCCACAATATAAAAACCACGACACTGAAACAAGTGTCCCAGTTCAAAATCTTCATTTCTTAGTAATTAATCCAAAATGAATCAAAATAATCCGTCAATTCATAATAATTCACCTCCATGTACTACAAGCAGAAGCTGGGAATATATTTTTTTCACCAGATAAACGACAATTTTTGAATAAGTTTCCCATGCACCATGAGATGCAGTTTAACCCTCTTCATCAAAGCCACGTGCCCTGATTACTGCTCCAGGAATTCTCCCCTGTCACAACACACGCAACTCAGACTGCGCGCGCCATCCGATTGGTAGTTACTCGGCTCTTAACTCGCGAGACGACCACCTCCCGACTTTAGTCCCCGGAAGAGCATTACCGAGATGCATAAGTCGGTGGCAGGTCAGGCCTGATGATCAAACGTAAACTTATGACAATAAATGTGCAAGTGTTTCTAAATATAAAATAAACGGTACCGGTGATTTTCTTTTTCGCGAGTTCAATTTTGTGGTCTTTATCGAAAAAATAGAAATTAACAATTAAACAGAGAAAACAAGAAATAAAGAGCAAGAAAAAGAAGATTCCTCTCTATTGATTGCGATACAAACAAATAAAATATTGACATGGGCCCAGTTTCAACATATGTCAACGGATTAAAGTATTTTTTGAGTAAAATAATATTTTCATTTCTCTTTAAGTTTGTCAACCTATCCCTTCGCTCATATCTTTTAGACATATACAATTTTTTTGGTTTTAGGAACTCAGAAAAATCATCGATTTTCGTATACAACTCTCTAATCGGGTTCGGAATTTAATTATTTATTAGTCTGAATGGTTAATTGTAGAGTTAATAACTTCACCGGAGGGACAGTATAACCACAAAAGAGATGGAATCGGACCTTTTTAGAAACTAACTACAGAGCCGGACTGACATATGTCAACTAATTACTGTAAATCCATTTTTCTTAACCTACTCAAGGGCGATCGACTTGTAAACAGAGATTATCTAAGATTTAGAGCGTCGTCACTGAAGAAATGGGACCATTTATTAATTATCGACCACGGGGTCAACCTTTCACCTTTGCAGACCTCAACGTCATAATCAACTTTAAGAAGGCCACTTAATATCACAAAGTTTATTCTTTCTCTTTAATTTCTTAACTAATCCCGGTCCCTATGGACGAATCTTGTATGAAGGGACGAATCTTGTATGACCAGTGTTTAAATTGGTAACGACATTTTTTCACAAATGAAAAATGTGCACAGCACTGGGTTAGTTAACACGACTTTACTGTAATAAAGCACTTATTTCACAATTGCTGAACTGGTACCAAGTGCCGTTAAAGTGTGAGGAAAATTGACATGTTAAAAATAGACAGTTAGAAAAATAGCTAAAAGTATTTATAAAATAGCAAATTTAGATCATTGTAACCGACAGAAATGCCAATAGTTGAACCTACGTTGGTGCATCTGTTGTCATAAACAGAACCACCACCATTCAGTAGAGGGTACCTGTAATGTTGCCGACCTGTTAAGGAAAACTTTATCACAATCAAGATATAGCAATAAAATAAAAACAAGATCAAACACGATGATGGGTTTAAATCAAGAATTATTATCCCCGCAATAAGTGATAGTATCATCTCCAGACACTGCCAACACTCAATTTAGAGGAACGTATTAGCGAAGATTTAGACCCACTCCAAGGTGCTTTTTTTCGACGCGGCATACAAGATGAATTTAAAGCTTGTTACAATTACATAAACATTTATAAATAAGTTCCTGGAAATGAAATCTTAGAAATAAGGACGTGCAGACATGAGATTGAATGAAACCATGCCAAGTTGTATCATAAAACACAGGGTGATGAGAAAATGACGGGGCATTCACGAATTATCCCAAGTTCTTCACACGAAAGCACAGTAAATTATAATCTAATAAAGATACTTTGATTTTGAATAGAACATAACTGACGTCTCTCACACAGTTAGGCACAGATAAAACAAATGTGTTATTTATATTATACACAAAACAAAAACAATTCAAAAAGAAAAACGAAAATTAAAAACCCCATTAGAACTAATTTACATCTTGTATTTCTGCGGCAAATGACAACTTTAAACAAATTCTTCTAGAGGGAGAAAATATCTGGAAGTTTTGTAAGTCTAAAGAGCAGACAAGTAGAAAGAATACTCTTAACCAAGACAAGGAGAGCAATAATGGCATTAATTATACATCAGGTATCTCTAAACTGACCGCTTATAACTCAATAACGAAGGAACACACCCGCAATCATAAGTTACAGCACCTGAATGATGTGGATTAGTCTGGACATATCTGACATAAGTAATACATAAGTAATACTTTGCTATGACACAGCCTGATCGGCGAGGCGAAAATAGTTATGAAAGCTATCATGAGAAGATGGTTTTCAGGACTTGAGACGCTAGCGTTTGATGGTAATATTCATATAAACTGTGTGATATATCTTACAATGCGAATAATGAGACTTTTTCCCCCTAGAGCTGAAAGCTTTCAGTATCAACAACAAAGAAAGAAACATTCAACCTCTGTTAGTCCGGTAAAACATAATATTTATACTTCATATTTAAATATTTGAAAAAACACCTGTCTGACTTGATTTACACACCAAGAAGATCTCTCTGACAGTCTCTGTTTTGACAATATTTTTTCATTTAATATATCTGTTTTTCTTGTTTATATTAAAAGAAGCTTAATCATGTAGTATCTGGTCTCAAAATTATAAACTGAGTATAGGCTTAAGAATTTCAAATTAGTCTAACTTTTGAAATAGTATTGAATATAAAACAAAATGATTATCATATGTTTGTATTTGAGTCTTATACAAATTTGCAACCTTTTAAGCATATTTTAAAACAAATATCAAGATATTCAAAATCTGGCTTAAGTCTGTTCATGGTCCCTTGGGTTTGATTTGATGTGAATACGGGTAATGCATGTGATTTCTCATACTTATATATAGTACTAGAGTACTGCAAATTTCATTATTTGAAAGGGTAACCTTTTTTGGGATTCAGACATATGATATATGTACACAAGATAGTAGAATTGAGAGCCTGATACCATTCTTAAAGTTGATAAACACTATTTATAAGCAATGTTTTTTTTTTCTGTCCATGGTGCATTGACCTCTGCTGCTTCAGATTACTACTTCTTAACAACATTAGATCTACAGAAAACAGTGATATCAAAATCCATTCCGTTCTGTCTCAGACTTATTTGTTGACTAGATTTCTTAGAAGACGAGTAGGAAAATATTTCTTCATTAAATTGCTCGCTTAATGATCCGCTTAAGTTTGTAATATCATAGCCATACTAATGTCTTTGTTCTATAGAACAATCATTAAGAACACAGCTGATAAACCCAACACATTCCCTTACGCCATTTGAATACTGTCAATTATAAGGGGTCATCCATATATCCTTGATACTTAAACTATCCCATTGTCAATGACGATGATTAATTCAGCTCTAATTGATTTCAAATAACGAAATTTGACCAATTCTGAGTCACGTAATGCTGTCATGGTGAGGGAGAAATTGATTATTACGGGGGAAATGCAAAATTTTAAGCACGATATTTGTTTTTATATTCATGCATATCTGAAATGAACCCCCATGGCATCTTTCCTTTAGATCGACTGTCTAACTCTGATAAATTTTCATAATTAACTGAAGTAACGAGGTAACTATGAAGCAGTAATTAATGGTCACGGCAACGTAAAACCTCAAAATACTACTGCTGATCAGGTAAGGGGCTCCTGTACGAACACATCAGAATTTTGAGTAATAAAACACATATTGGTTATGATAAGACTGAAATGGCGAGCCTGATAGCCAGTAGATGAGCTGTCGTTCTGCTGATGACCCAAATCAAATTGCATTTCCATGGCAAAAGCTGCTCTGCTCCATGCTGATTGTGTGTACTTCAATGATCTCTTTAATAAACCTAATAATCGTCTTCCGAGGTATCTCATTCATCAATATGACAATTAGCAAATATTTTACAATGAAAGGAAGCGTGCAGTTATGCAATATTGTCGGCGAGTTAGTGTCAGCTCGGAGGCTTCTGTCTGGGGCTCTATTTCTTTTTTTCTTTCATATTTGTGACAATGAGTATAAAAAAATACTCGTTGAGACATTTAATTCTATAAATTCAATCAATCAATAAATGTTAAATTTATGAAGCCATACTCAATTTTGAATTAGGAAACATACACTCACTAAGAGTATTATTTAGAGTGTACCTGGTGAAAGAGTGTATAATATTTCTCAAAATGGAGAATATGAGAGCAATTGCATTCATCAGTGTTAAAAATGCATAAAAAACTGAAACTTTTACAAAAATCTAGCTCCAATGATTTGCTGCAAAGTTTTCTTTTCTCCTTACAGGAATTTTTGTCATTTTCATCCATCTATCTATTTATACTTCTATTATTTTTCGAATTAGAGCTTAAAAATCAATTGAGGGACATCTAAGTTGTCAACAGATACTCAGGCAATAGAGAGAGAGAGAGAGAGAGAGAGAGAGAGAGAGAGCATAGCATATGACAATGGCAGTTAAACAAAGTGAGCAAGAGTAACAGATTAATAACAGATTAGAAAAATAATGTAGAGTAAATAAATTAAGATAACAGAGTGACAGTCCAGCAGAAACATACTGTCTTACATGTTTAAAATTGTGTTGACGTATAATTCTAAACAGTTTAAATAATAGTCGAGAGAATTATGTCTCTATTGCAAAACACACTGTGATAGAAATATAATTTTGTATATTAATATACTTTATGAAACACTCTTGATGATGCCTAAAATAGACACGGGGATATAGTCTAGGAAACGAAAATTTTAGAATTCTTCTTTGTGGCTAATTGATTTCCTTTGAATGAAGCAAACTAGAGCGAGAGTTAATGACGTGCATCTTGTTTATTGGAGAATCAATGTAAATAGTATTATTGGGATTTTTATAAGCCTAAATATTGTTATGTAAATGACACGCCGTGTTTGGCCAAATCTAAATAATGACAGATACGAAAAAAGAGACCGCTTTCACAATAATAATGAATACAGGGCATGTTTGCATCTGAATTGGTCCATCCGACAAGCTCACTATATATTGGTCATTGCTCCATCCGTTAGTAAAAGTGACACAGAAGTTATCATGTTGTAAAATTTGAATTTATTGGGTGGAGTAACAACATGATACAATGGTATCCCGCGGGTCTTGGTCCGTGAATAGAGAAATGCGTCTTGTTGATTCATCAGACTTGACACACACCTGCTGATGACAAGGTCATAGTTGAAGATGAC